ATTGGGGTTTTTATTTAACTGCCCCCCCCCCCCCCGCATCCTTCCATTCTTTACCAGACATGGTTTTAACACTGCCCTTAGTCAACTTGTCATTTGGGTTCATCACTTTTTTTTTTTTTTCCTTTGGCCCCCTTTTTGTATTTTTCCCCCCATACATGGAACAGCTTTTGGAGCGTTTCTGCAGCCCCCTCACTCTGGAGGCCCCCAGCCAGGCCTGCATTATTTGAGCAATATTTATTTCCTCCCCTCATCCCCATCATTTGCTCAGTGTCGAGCAGAGAACTGCCAGCCCAAACCGCCCAAATCTCGCTGCCTGGCAGGCTCCTGCCTCTGGCCTTGGCACAGCGAACGCCTCCAGGATTGGCTTAGCAATTATGTGTTATTCAAGGTGCTGCTGACATTGGCACCAGGATTTGCAGTTTGGAAAATGAAACGAAATAAACCAAAGTTAATTAAACCCTGCTGCATGCATTGCATTTTGCCAGCTAAAGCTTTCCTGCTCACGGCAGATGGTGGAAGAGCCCTGGGGAGGTGGCAGCGGCCCCCTTTCTGGCCAGGCTGCCAGGTTTGCAGCCGTGCTGCAGCATCCAGCAGGAAACACCCAAGGGAGCCCCAGGCTTTTCCCAGGCCACGGAGCCCTCCCATGTCTGCACTGATTTATTGAAATGGGATTGGGGGAGGAAAGGCTAATTTTGGAGACAGGTCATGTAACACCATCTCAGGGGACGTTTGCACCCAGGCTTCGGGGTCCCATGCCAGCTCATGTTTTCAGGGGCTCAGACCAGGGCCCCAGCCCCGAGCCTTTCCTCCAGGCAGGCTGAACGCCCAGAAATAACCCAACAGCCGACCTGGGCCAAGCGGCTCCAAGGCGCCCGGCACGTTCACCGTCCTGGCGTCCCGTGTCGGCGCCACTGATGCAAGCTCCCGCGGCCGCTCTACGGAGACGCAACGTGAGCACGTTTGCAATGCCGCCACGGGAGCCTGTCACTGAAAGGGCATTCCTTGCATCTCAACCGCAAATGCCAAAAGCCTGAAATTAAGCCCTGGCCTAACCGTAATCCTGTTCCCCAACCTTTAGAGTCAATGCGGTGCTGCTCTCACCTATCTCTCACCAATCCTTAATGTGACCAGTGACCGAAACCCGGCACGTCCTAAGGCCAGTGCAGCCGTGCGGGTTCAGTTCCTACGCCTGCGCGAGAGCAGAGCAACCCAGGCACTGGCAGCTGAAGCCCGAAAGCCATCGCCCTGGGTTGTCGATTTGAGGTTCCCCACAAGATGTGGGGCAGGGGATGATGCCGGGGGTCGGGGGGTGACAATCTACTGCTGTCCCTGAGTGTCCCCACATCAGATGGGGAAAAACAACCTCGGACAGTGATTGGAGGCAGCCCCACAGGGCAAATGTGGCCAGGGGTCTGGTACAGCCTAACCCTAACGTTAAGTCCTACCCTAACCTATTGCTAACCTTAACATTAACCTTAGCACTAATCCTAAACCTACCCGCCCCAAACCCTAGCAGTAGTGCAAGCACTAATGCTAAACCTAACACCAACCCTAATGCTAACATTAGCATTAACACTAACCAGAGTGCTAACCCCAGCTATAACACTAGATCTTGTGCTAACCCTAACCTTAACCGTAGCGCTAGCCCTAACTGTAAAAGTACCTTTCACCCTAATCCTAAGCCTGCCTTTGGGCCCGAACCCCCCTGTTGTCAGGTCCTGGGCCAAAAAGCTCCCTGATACAGAGGCTGGGGAGCGGGGGAACCCCTCTCCGGTGGTGGGGATGGTGGGGACCGCTCTCCCCTGCCTTAAACCTAACCATGCCCACAGCTTTATGCCTTGCACCAAAACCTGTCCTTAACCTGACCCCAAGCCCAGCCTTGAACTTAACTCTCACCCCAGCCATAGCCTTAACTCTCATACCTAACTCTAACCTTAACCTGGCCATAGCCTTAACCTTAACCCTAGCTCTAACCTTAACCCTTGTACTTAAACCTAAGCCCAAGCTGAACCCAGACTTGGCCATAGCCATAACTCTTACTCCAGCCACAGCCTTAACCCTTGTACCCAAACCTAGCCTTGAACCTAACCCTAACTCTAACACCAGGCTTCGCTTAGCATTAACTCTCATACCTGAACCTAACCCTAGACTTAAACTTAACCTAACTATATCCCCATCCTCATGTCTCGTAGCTGATGCTATCACAAAACCAAATCAAACTGCAGCCACAACCATAATTCCCACACCTGACCCCAACCCTGACCCCGACTTCAGCCCTCCCTACACTGAACCGCAACCCCCGGAAAATGGCCAGCGCAGCTTCAGCCCAACGCCCACACCTCCTCCCCACCACGACCCTCGTCACGCCCTGACCCGCAACCCGAAACTGCACCCTACCCCAGCTCTCAGCCCCGGTTCGAATCCCTCCTTGAGCCTCTGCGGCTGAATCCCAGCCCAAAACAGCATGCAACCGGCACGCTGGCCATCGCGAGCCATAACATTACTCTAAAGTTAACCCCAAACTTTAATCCCAGTGAAACCCCAGGCCCTGGCCTGGCCCATTAGCCCAGGTTTAATTTTTGCCCTGGAGCTCAGACCCGGCGAGCCGGGCACGCAGCTCCCCGCAGGCAGCCGGGGCTGATCGCCGTTTTGGGGCTCTCGTGGGCTGGCGGGCGGCAGCAGCCGGGCCCGCGGGCGGG